GAAAAAATACCGGAAAATACCGATTCTTACCGATATATCGTTAGTACCACCACTACAAACGGTTGTTTTTATATCCAAGGATGGCGCATTTTTTTTTTTTTTGGCAGACCTGAGCACCGATTCTTACTCTGGAAAAAGTGATTGAAAGATCGAGGAAGTAACCGCCACCTAATTAAAAATTGGAAGCCATTATAGAGTTCGCACTGGCAGTACGAAACATATAATGTTGGTTACCAACTCATGGTATATAAACTTCCAAATAATCAGAATCTGTACTGGGCAATGCACCTTCTATCAAGGCTTTCAGTGACTGGCTTTACCAAGTAACAAAGGCGGTTCCCAAAGACATGCTTGTACACTCCAGGCGACGTCGAAGGTAACCAGTTCCTCTTGATCTTGCCCGTAACGCTTCATTCCGCTGGCAAAAGGATAGACATTTTTGCCTTCTTGGATGAAAGTTCGTCTGAGACCTTAATAGACATAAGCATTTTCGACAAGCTTGGCATTAACGGCACACCATCGCCGATCTTTTTACAGTGGACTAGAGAGACCACCAAATAGGAAAATAAATCTGTGAGAGCATCAATTCAAATCTCTAGCGGCGGTTCAAAAAAACTCTACAACTCAACTGTCGACGGAGTAAGTTAAGCTATCTATTTTCCGTTAAATTCCTATTTCACGCAGCCAATGTTGTCAATTGGAACAAACAATTGGAAAATTACCGTCCGCCTAGGTAAGTGGCCTAGGTAAGTGGCCCCGAAAACTCTTGACCGAAGATAAACGACCCAGACCAGACGTGCCAAAATCAATCCGGAAAATTATAAGTTAGGCTTCTTTGGCGCACAACTGCTCACAAGGCACTAAAATGCTTGAAAAAAATAATTCTCAGTGAGCCGGATCTGTATAGAAAAATCGACGATCAGTTCCAAAATCTTCTTGCTAAAGGAACGCGATGCTAATGTCTGACGAGGAGGGTAAAAATCGGACCTGGTACTTAGCCTTAAATTCGAGTAAGCCAGTAAAAATTAGAATTTTTTGGGATGCGGCAGTGAAATCAAATGGAATATGCCTTTACTGTTATTGGACCGTGTTTGTTGAACCCACTTATCGACGTGCTACTAGGCTTCAGAGTCGAAATAGTCGCCGGGTGTGGCGTTATCGCCGAAATGTTTCACGGAATAAACATTCGTAAAGACGACAGCCACGGTACGTTCTATGGTTTGATGCAAGCCGAAATAAAATAATCGGACTTTTTCGACAGCACGAGTGGCGATCAAGTAACAATTAACATTTCCAGCCAAGTACGAGAGGATAACGCACGAGGTGGGTTTCAGATTTGAAACTGGACGTCAAATTGAGCAGCAGTCTTTTCGTACCTCAACAAAGATGGAGACGCCGAAAATAAGAGGAGAGTCAAGTGCAGTGCAGTTCCGACTAAAAGGGAAGTCCTTCAGGTTCTTATGTCGGTTGTCGTCCCTTTGGGGTTATTTTCTGGCTACACGGTCGGCTTAAAAATACTTCGCCATAAAATATGGCGCGCAAATATAATTCTGGACCAAGTGCTGCCAGAGTCATTATTGGAAGACTGGCGCTAGTGGAAGCGGTTGCTACATCAACTTGCAGCAATAAATATTCCAATATGCTACTCTTCATCATTGTCTGAAGTACGAAGTCGACGCTAGCGAAAATGTTTATTCAGCTGCATGCTATCTGCAAGTTACCCATAAAGTCAAGGTGGACGTAATGCTCGTGGCTGCCAAAAGCAATGCGGCACCTATAAAACCACTTTCGATTCCCCGCATGGATTTCCAGTCAGCAGTGTTGGCTAACGAATAAGATTTCCAGTATTTAAGTAAAATAAAGTATTTATGTTAAATTTGAAATGTCTATTTTCCTAGTTGTAGTTGTGAGGGTGTTTCCAATTTGACTATGGCTGCTACCTTTTCTGAATCAGTGCCTACCCTTTGGTTCCCAACTGGGCGCTCAGGAACAGCTGCTCGCTTCCGAAGAATTGGCATTTCTCGGTATTTATCCAGAGACTTCCTTGCCTTAGGCGTCGTGCGTTATGTTTTCCTTCAATGTGCGTCCGATTACGGTGATGTCTTGATTTGCGGACGTTTGCGGTGCCATCTCTGGTCCAATAACTTGATCCAGCGCTGGTTGGAAGGTTGCAGTCATGCATCACTTTTCACTGGGAGAGTCCTTTTCACCGTGAATGCCTTGAATTGCCTACTGCCTACTTCCAGGGAATTTGCCAATCTATTAAATCCAGACTGCTTATATTATATATCTCGCTTGCCTATTTGGTCTAGGATAAAGTTTATTCTTGGCATGGGGCATGCATCTTTTGCTGACCTAGCAGTGATCTGTCCAAAGTCGACACATTGTCTCCACTGGCCTGTCTTTTTCTTCACCATGACGATCACGGAGCTGTACGGGATTCTCGAGTGCTCTATGCAGTCCATTTGTAGCAACTCGTCGGGCTCTTTGGGTAATATTTTTGCTTAATCGGCTTTTCGTCCTTCATAATGATTCGGTGCTCGGCTGTGTTGGATGTTCCCCGCATTGTTCGAAAGTTCGCGAGCTCGGTATTTAAGAATATGTCCATATCCTTTTCCTCAGTTGTTGTGTTGTACAACCGCCACTGACAATCTTTCTTCGAGCCATCCGTCGTGCATTTTCCTTTCTGGGATCACCACTGTATGTCCGGCATACCTTATGTCGGCGCCGACTCCTGTGAGGAAATTCCATCCCAATTCTAGCGATTCGACTACCCATGGTAGGATGGCAATCGTGTTTTGCCGAATTCGATCTCTACCTCGAGATGTGTGTTTATCCCGCTGTATCTGCCATCTGCCAACCTAACTTGCCGTCTCGTCCTTGAAATTCTTCCTTCGCAAGCAACTTTATCCGATAGCTCCTTGCTTATAAAGCTTGCCGGAGTCGATTGTGGCTTTGTATGTGCTTGAACCAATCTATACCGCTGCGGACAATTGTTGCTCTTCTCCGATTAATTCGCCAGTTAGTTTGGAGAGACCGCACCTTGCAAACCCGGCTTGCCTCTCTGCTATTGGGATCGCTGGTTATTTTCCGCTCTCTGGCAGCACTCTACGCTCCTCACACCCATTTTGTCGCTCATCCAGCAGAATAGTAGCGACTGGTTTCGGCACCCTCGTGCCCGCCACATTATCGACAAGCTTCTTCAATGTTCACAATGCGGGTTTGCGCTCTGGTAGCCCCGGACTGTGTGGTGTGCGTCCTCTTGGATCATATTGGACGGCGTCTACTGACCGTTGATAGGTGCTTGGTTTCCGCCACTGTCCTCGCATCTCCTGCACGTGGTTTTTGTGGGTACTGCTGCTTTATTTCGCGAAGACTTGTTTTATTGAACGAATACTTTCCGCTGCTTGTCGAGTTCCTCATACTCGCCGGCCAGGATGATTACTGCCTCCAAGTCGTCTACATTATGTGTTCTCAGGTCTGGCGTGCAGTGATCCTAGATAACCTCGCGAGTTTCCCTTAAGGAGTACCCGAGTGGTCTCATCATGGTCTGCAGGTAGTCTTTAAATGGCTCCCCGAAACCCTATTTCCGCTGCATCACCTGTTCTGCGAGCTTTGAGAAAAATCCCCTTGGCAGGAAATATGTTTGAAAACTCTCGCTGAATTCTCCAAATTTCTCCAGTGTTTATTGTTCTCTCACCATTCTCACATTTGCTTTGCTTCTTTAGCGTAGTCTGGTGCGATAGGTCTGTACTGCTCCGGTCTTCTGTCTTGACTTGTATTCCTACTTCTGTCAGCCTCTTTAAAGCATTCCATGACCTGACTAGCTATAAGCTGTTCGGCGTCTAGGTGTATAACCCGTGACTGGTTTGATGTCGTATGTCTTTTCTCTTCTCCTCTGAAAGCGCTCTACGCATGTTCTTTCACTTGCCTTCCATGGTAAAGTCCAGCTTTGCCGCCACTTTCGCGAAATCCTCTTTTTTGGGGAGATAAATCCTCCTTTTCCGTTCTGCTTGTTGTTTTTTTACTGTTAAGACAATCAAGTTATGTCGTGATGTTATCTTACAACATTTATGCATGCGTCCCACCAAATTTATATAAAACGTGACCGCACGATTGACTAGCAATAAAGTGCAGAATACTGCGATATACAAACGATCTTTATTCTCCGACTGGACCCTCGGCCGGGTTGATAATCGCAATGTATTAACATAGACGCTTCTTCGATGAAAATTGGTGCTGTCGTTCCTGGTTGGTTCGATGTCGATCGCCTAGTTTCGGGTGCTCTTGTTGATTCCGTCGGCGTTGGCTTCGCTCGGGGTGCTCGTGGCTCCTTCTGCGGGGTCTTTGGCTCTCGGGTATAAACAACGACCGTAAAGATCGTGCTTAAAAAACTCGAATACTTATAAACACATGCAGTATTTAACCAGTAGATCCCCTTCAATTAAATTATTTTGTATAACATTTTTATTCTAGAATAATTTTGAAATAGTGACCAACTTCTTTGTAAGTGCATCTACATATTTATTCATATAAACCTACCCGCAATCACAGTTAAACCCTTAAACAAAAAATAAAAGATTAAATCTTTTTTGTTAAATTATTTTATTAACGTATTTGCAAGTGGCAAAGGACTGACACCAGTTTGGCTGTGTTCAAGAACACATTTAAGTTTTTTTTTATGTTAAAGCTGGTTGCCAAACTCTATAGCATATTATTAAATGAAGCAAAAACCATTTCTGAGGAAAAGGGAGTAATTGCTATGAAATAAAGGCAACGTCGCTTTAATAACTTCTTAAGTACGTTATTTACGAGGCAACGCAAATTTAAGTATATAATAAAGAAAACAAATATATAAAGACATATATGAACATTAGGGTGGTATCAATTTGTATGAACATTTTGTGGTCCTCCTTTTAAATTTGAAGTGACGTCATAATTAAATTTAATTGCCAACCTGCTTACGTGTCGAATGACTAATTTAAAATAAAACTGTTTAGTTTTCAAAAAAATTTTGTAAACCAAAAACTGGTGTATTTAATGGTGATGGTAAAGCATTTTTTTAACACCTGATGTACATATATGTATTTGTATATTTATTACCTATTAATTACATTACAGCAAGGTATCTATGCATTAATACAAAAATATAAAATAAATTATTATTTGTAAACTTTGTAATTAAATATTTTTAACTAAATTTACACAAAAATTGAGGAACAACAAAAGTAAATTAAACTTCAAATTTTTTGTTACAAGTTGCTATAAGTTTTGAAGGTTTTAAATTCAAAACTGCTTTAGAATATTACGAGAAATTTTATTATCTACAATAATTCCCAAAATAGATTTTGACTTCATTTTGTTATTGAGGTCTTCTTTGCCAACTTTCAGATCTATCATCAAGCTTTGGCAAAAGGGGCACGGAAGCTGTTGTTGCTTCTCTGTCATCATGTTCACCATTTTGCAGATCCCCTGCTTCAGAAGCAACTAAACTACTTAATGAGGCATTATCCGTATGCTCAGGATTACTTCTCTTTTGATCATCTTTAATAGGTTCACTGACACTGTTGCTTTTCTCATCGTGAGATAATTCCATATTCGTGGGCGAAGAATTCAAGCTTCGTATAGGTTTCGATAGGCGTCTTGTACTTTGATTTGGTGCAAGAAACCTTGGCTTTTCGTCCTCTGTTATAGAGTGTAATAAACGTTCCACTTCGTCATCAAATGTCTCACTGGAAAATGTTCCTGATTTACGGCTCTTTTCCAGCAAAGTAGCTTTTTTTGCCGTGAGATATAAAACCCTTTTAATTGCAATGTATATTACATCAGATATAGCACGAACGGAGTAATCAGGTACAAAGGATTGTCGAATTTTCGAATCCATATTTAAAGACTGCAAAGAACCCATTTGTGTTGGAGAGTCTGGAAAAATATACAAATGAAATTAATAATTTAAAAATCGTGGTATAACATTAATATTTTATACATGTTATATAATATTTGTAATGTAGTATTATACATTGCCGAGATAACATAAGTATATAAATATATATAACATAAATATAAAAATATCTTATTCTTAAGGGTATATTTTTAAGCATTCTAAGCATTAATTACAATTAAAGCATTCACAAAAAAATAAAATTTGTATTTTTTTCGATGTCAAATTTAATTGCTCTGCCAGCAAACCATAAGATAGGGCCTGGAGATCGCTGATGTAAAGAGACAAAGCGAAAGAACCGGTTGCGGGGGGTGTGGGTGTACGACGAACTAACTTTCTAGTGTTTGCAATACAGTTCAATACATGGTGACACCTAAGCCCAGATTGTTTTGTGCGGGAATGTTTAGTTCAAAATCTGTTAGCTGAGTAACGGATGTCTAACAGTCGGGGAACTCGAATATAGCGTTCGTTCTTGCTTATAAAAAATTCAGAAAAAATATTTTTCATAAATAACTCTTGAACTTGAGGGTCTTGTTAAGATTAAATTGGTCAGAAGTTTGTAACGCAGTCAGGGATACATTCCCGACCAATAGAGTATATATATATTAATTATTGACATGACTAGACGATGTTGATGAAGCCATCTCCGTCTGTCCGTCCGTCCGTCCGTCCCTCCGTTCTACGCAAACTAGTCTCTCGGTTTTACAGCTATATTTTTAATTTTTTGGGAAGTTTTAGATATATTGTAATAGATTATTAAAACAATCGTGTCAAAGTTGTTAAATTTCACTTTTTCATTTTTGCTTATAGAAATCGGTTTCATATACAAAAAAACAATTAAGGTTGAAATAAATACCTATAGTAAGTATGTGGTGTGTGTCTTTTGTTACGGAAAAACTCAATTTACTTAGCAGCAGATAAAAGTAAAACACGTTATTCCAAATTGCGTGCACGATAATAATATATGTTATAAGCTAACTAATATTAAATTTTCAACATTCAATGAAGTTGGATACGTTCGAATTATTCAATAACATTCCACACCAGGCACCGGTGCTGCAGCTGATTCATGCTTTTGCATAAAAAACATTTTTAATATTGAACCACAATATGAAACTCTAAGAATCCTAAAGCGTTCTTCACAACTATAACTGTATGTGAAAACTAGGTATATTAGTTATATCAAGGCTTGGCACAGACGAGAGCACTGGAGCCGATAAGCACCGGAAAGCATGCGCAGAGAGACTACTATATCACAATGGACATGTAGTGACGATGCGCACCATATAGTCAGGGTTGGTAAAATATTCCACTTTTTTAGCACAGTTAAAATTTTGTTGAAAACACGCGTCAAATGACACCCATTATTTAAATTTTCTATTTTTTGCTTTTATTGCAAATTATTTAAAATGGTTAGAACTGATTTTTGTTTAACTTATTACGAATTTAGCCCTCGAGATTACTCAACATTTGGGATACAAAAAGTTTCTCTGCATGAATGTTTTCGAAAGTTATTAAGCAACAAAAACTGCAAATATTTATTATTTTTTGAAAATTAAAATTAAAACTATTTATAACTTAAGCAAACTAGTATGAAATCAGATACTTTGCAAAAAAGTGATCAAGATGCAAGCAAATATTTTAAAAACAACGAAGTTATGACAAATTGTATGTTGTACTGGGAGCCAGACAACTTTCTTGTTAGTTTTTATATCCTTATAAATGGTATTATAATTTTAGTCAGAAGGACACATGCATGACCCTATCACCATCAATAGAAGAGCCGATCTAACCATATCCCTAGCCTATCAGTTTTAAAGCTATTAGTAGTAGTTAAAACGAGTCGGATCGGACGACTATATCATACAGCTCCCATGGGAACAATCGGGAAATCATATGAAAAAATTATAATTTGCCTGTTTTTCAATTAATTTGATTATACTTCTATACAAAATAATGCTTTATTGTTTCAGAATAGCTGATTGTAAAGCATAACAAGAAAAGAAGCAAACTACGGCAAGCCGAAGTTCATATACCCTTGCAGCTATTGGAAAAACTAAATATTCTTTTAAACATTAAAATTATGATTTACTTACGTATATGTTTAAAAACATTGAAGCAATGATGATTTGCAGCTCAATTATTCGATAGTTCTATGGCAGCTATATGGTCGTTTTCCGATTTTAATAAAATTAAAAGCGCAATTCTGAACTGTCAAATTATTAATAAGTCAACAAGAATTAAAAAAAAAAAAAATATTACAAAACAGAAAAGTAAAGTCTTTAAAAAATTTTGGATATTTTGTAAGCTTTGCCTAAATAACAATCTATCAGTCACAGTTTTATTTTCAAGGACTTTGAATGATACACATGCTGAAGTGATTCGCGAAAAATTGCCAGTACAAATATATATTACGTTGAGTAAGATTTATATATCCACTGCTGTTAAATTAAAGTAAGCTACCATAGCTGTGTGATTATCTGAGGATACATTCCAAAACTCTCATGATGACGACGAATATCTATATTTTAATTCATCAAGAAACTTAAGCTCAGTCTTTCGGAAACTGAAGTTCTTCCAGGAAAAAGATCGGGTACAGAACCTAAAGAAGTATATACTTTTCTCACCGCTAGAGGTTTGTTTATTGAAAATAAATTAATAATAAAAGCTAACATTTCATTGTTTAGTAGGCATCCAACTTAATTATTCCTTTGCCAGTTAAAAGTGAAGATCAAATGTAAATGGTTCACATATCTTCGGAACATTTAATTTATAATTTTGAGATCGACACATATCGTATAATGACCGAATCAACTTTAAATCAATGTCGGAAATGACAATTAAATAAAAGAATTTGCAAGGAAGTTGGCAATGGAATTCTGCGAATGACAACTCATGTGAGTTGCAGCCACTTAAGCCAAATAGAGTTTCGAATTGTGTAAGTTAACACCCAAACTAATACAATTTCCCAGAAAGAAGAAAAGAGTAAGCATCGACTGCACAACAAACAGCAAAGCAATGCCCTCAATAATACAATTTCCCAAACCGAAGAAGAGAGCATTTATTGCACAACTAACAGCAAAGCAATGCCCTCAATAAAGCTCAAACGAACTTCGCCACGTGTGCTGAGCTTGCACCTTTTAATCAGCGATCGTGGGAATGCAGAATAGCCAATTTCCAAAGTTGATCGAACTCAACTAAGTGCATACAATAAAAACAATAATTAAAATGCACTGGCCAATTACAATTAAGTTTGGTCAACGGCAACGGCGACCAAGAGCAGCAACCAATAATATGAAAGAACGTCAGCAGAATCACCAACATCGGCCGAGACGGCGGCAGCAATGGATCGACGCTTAGCTATAAAAAACAATTGTTTAACCTAAGTAAATCAGTTCTTAATCCAACTCAATAAAGAAAAGTTTGATTTTTCATAATCAATCTTTTAACTTGTACACAACAAGAAAGAAAGCAAACTTCGGCAAGCCGAAGTTGATATACCCTTGCAGCTATTGCAAGAATTAAACATTTTTGAAAACATTAAAATTATGATTTACTTGCGTATATGTTTAAAAACATTGAAGCTATAATGATTTGCAGCTCAATTATTTGATAGTTATTTTTATATATTTTTATTATTTCTATGGGAGCTATATGGAATGGTCGTTCGATTTTGATAAAATTTAAACCATAATTCTGAAATATTTAACCATTGCTATATGTCGAAAAACTAAACAAAAAATTAAAAAACAGCAAAGTTATATTTTTTCTTCAAGTATTTTTCCGATTGTTCCTATGGGAGCTATATGATATAGTCGTCCGATTTTCATGAAATATTTAACTATTACTAAATGTCGAAGACCTAAACAAAAAATTAAAAAACAGCAAAGTTATAATTTTTTTTCATTTATTTTTCCGATTGTTCTATGGCAGCTATATGCTATAGTCGTCCGATCCGGCTCGTTCCGACTTATATACTACCTGCAATAGAAAGACAACTTTTGGTAAAGTTTCATTAAGATAGCTTTAAAACTGAGAGACTAGTTTGCGTAGAACGGACGGACGGAAATGGCTAGATCGACTCGTCTAGTGATGCTGATCAAGAATATATATACTTTATAGGGTCGGAGATATCTCCTTCACTGCGTTGCAAACTTCTAACTGAAATTATAATACCCTCTGCAAGTGTATAAAAAAAGTGAATGGCTTTTTTTTTGTTTGGGATTTTGGAAACTCTGAATATAAAAATAAAATTTATTCTAATAAAATAATCACACTAGTAAAATGTACTTTCTCCATAGCTAACTATAAAAAATATTTAAAAAGAAGTTTCAGGCTCAATATTTTTTCGAGACCCAGAAGTTCTTGTTGAGAAACGAAATTATTATGAGTATTTACCAAAGCTCGCAAATAACTGTCAACCATTTTTCGCTTTACGGTCTCTGCACTTAAACATTAGAAAAAATCTTGCACGCTTGCTTTCGCTCTGAGCAGAACACTTAGTTTCTCTTTGTTATGGTTTTCGGTTGACTGATCTCAATTGAGTTGTTCTTGTTATGCTCTTTTAACAACTAAGGAGTGTGCCGCCTGAACGCTCACATATTGGGACTTAGCAGAAGAGCAAATAAATGAAAGACTCAGCGTTAACGGTCTTTTCCTTTGGGTTTGTTTTGGTTTTCAGTGGTTTCTCGTTCTCGCGCTTAGGTGTGAAAAAAAAGCAAAATATTCGAATTTAATGGCAAGTGACCATGTCGAAGTTATCTATGAGAGCATAGCTTTGTACAAGTTGGTCATTGGTCTGGGCCAGTGTCTACGCCATCCAAATAGGCCGAAAACGGAGAATCTTCTTTAGCAGCACAGATATAACCGTCGGAAGAGAGCTCCTTCTTCTGAAAGTGGATGCATGCACCTTAATTAGAATACATTTTTTTTTGCAAATTTATCCATTTTTGCAAGTAATATTTCTCCTTAAGACTTGATCAAAAGTTATACCGTGATCATGTATGATCTCCGTAATATTCTCCTTGATGTACATTGTAGCTGTATCATGACCAAAGTTCACGCCTAATATAGCCTTGTCCATCCTGATAGCAACATCAATTTTAAGTTATACAAGTTTTCCTTTTACAAGAGCTCTAATAAAAAATTGGGTCTAATATCTGCCCCAACCCGAGGAGACGATTGACTCTACTAGTTTCATATGCTATTTTTCGAAAGTAAGGAATCTCGCTCACAAGCACAAGCAGGTGAAATATAACCACTCAAACGTAAAAGACTTTTATTTTCATCGCTTGCGATGAACAAGACGGAATGAAAATACGAAATCGATTTAGGTAGAGCACAAACCGATTGGTTCAAAAGATAGTTTGAATGGTTCAACTCTGACACTTTGGGCAATCGGTCCGAAAATAACAGATATTTTTAGATTTCAAAAACTGTTATTTGCGAGCTCGGGTATTTACACATAATCATAATTTTCTTAAGAGAATTAACTTGAATGCTTGCGCCTTGCACGAATTTATTCATTTTGGGACCCCCTTTTAATCGCCAAATGTAGTGATGTACAACTTTTATTGCGTTTACCACTATTGATTACTATTGAATTTAAGACCTCGATAGTGTTTCTAAACCCAATTATTCGATATACCGACACCAGCATGAGGAACAAACCCAGCTCTACCAAACAGTAGAAGACGCGCGGGTTTTCGAAGCCCAAATTGAAGAATTCAGCTTGTTGACGGACCCCCGAAGTGAAAATGATGATAACTAAAATATGATTTTTCAATAAAAGTGGTCATCTTCCACCAAGCGCTTTGAAACCCATTGCGCAAACTGAAAGCACATGCAAATCGCAATATAAACAGCAATATTTTTAAAAATATCCACCCATATCTCGTGGATCATCCTGCAAAATCATGGTCCTTCGAGGCGGATGCTACACCAACAGCCTTTTTTTGTTTAAATCCTTAAATCTTTGTGTGAATGTTACTTATATAAAACTGGATTTTCGAAAAAAAAGATTGTCTATTGGGACACGCTCTAACTTTTTGCCCCTTACCTATACCTAAAATGACATAGGAAAATTATATAAATAAATTATTTGTAAAAATAGATTTTAAAGGTCGTATATGCAAATGTGTGCTAACGAAGCCTTTGGCCATAACAAGAACATTAAATTTTGCATGAAATTCCCGTTTTTAGGATATTTGCTTACATATTCCGTCCAAACCAATCAGCAATTATAAACGATTTCTAACTGAACACAATTACGTTCGGCGATCACACATTCGAGGGCACTGAATATGCCCAGAGCCAACTCATTGCAGCGGTTAGATAGCGAATTTTTGGAGGTTCCCAAAGCAAGTACGCGTATAAATATGTTATTAGACCGCGAACTCCATGCAAAACGGTAACAAAAATATCCATGCTAATTGCTTGGATTCTCCGACGGATAAGAGAAGCATACTATGCTTAACTCTAAGCCATGATGGATAGCATGTAGTAAACAAAGTTGCGCTTTTCAAAAAGAAAAGCCTAAACGGGGCGCATTAATTGCATAATTAGTATAACAAACCTTTAAAACGACTTAACTTCCTGAGTCAAAAACGTTTTTGTTGTCAGATTCCATTATCGTTATCGCATGGCTGGAGAAACCCTCAAGTACCTCAAAAACAATTGCACTGTCACAGTCCAGGCTAAAATACATAATTGGTGGGTGCTAAAATTCTCTAGTTTGTGATGGCATAGACCAAAATGGCGTTAATGCTCCAATCTCCCTCCACCTCACCTTCAGAAAAAAGGGGCGAAGCTGAAAACATTACTGAAGCTGAAAACATCGATGTGTGTGACGACTTTCTCGCGAGCATTACGAACAACAGCCTCTTCTGCAATTACTCAACAAGCAAACAAATTCTAGTAAAAGACTAAGCACGCTGTGTTTAATCACTACGAAGAACGGTTTTCACTTGCAGTGTTCACCCAGATCTAATCTGGCAGCTCTATCGAGTTTATTTTAAGCACTTTACTACAAGCTGAAAATCAGCTGATGATAAAATCATTTCTTTATTCCAAGCTTAAGATGTTTATTTGTTCAATTGTTTTATTTGCTGACTAGTTCTTTTCTTATATTATTTAAATGAATATGTATATGATTTCAGGTACTACGCCATTTGACATGTACTTATTTTAAAATATTTGATGAGAGGGATGTTAAGGGCAAATAAGACAGTATTAAAACCAAAAAAATTGTCAGCGACTGAAACTTGGGAGCAAGCTGATCAACTGAACAACTAAATAACTGAGCAAATAAAAAACTGAACAAATGAGCAACTGAACAAGTGAACAAGTGAGCAACTGAACAATTGAGTTGCTGAACAACTGAACAACTGAGTGAAAAAAGTGAGTTTGTTCACTCAATAAAAAGTGAGCAACTGAACTTGTTAACCAAAGTGAGCGAGTTTACCCAACACTACTATAAAGAAGCTATGAGCTCTATTGGCAGTTCATTCCCCCCATAAAAGAGTTCGCCACATGACTCGCAAATATGTAAACAGTTCCTAACTCAAGCCCCTTGTGTATGGCCAAATTCAATGATAATAACTTAACGACGATTTTTTAAATGAATCGAATATCTTTCAGTAACAAACCGCATCAAGAATTAAGCGTAGATGGCGACATAAGTACCTGCACCGAAGGTATCAGTAGAAACATCAAAATGCCAATTTTGCGATTGATGACGTTGTCATCATCAAGGATGATGCTTGTCACATCCCGTCATGTCCCTGTGCACAAAGTTTTTTTTTTTAAATCGAATACGAGCAACTACAGAGATAGTTTGTTTGAACATCCTTACAGATGAAGTATATCTCCATGTCAATATAGATTTAAAAGGGGTACGTCTACGACTTCAAACCTATTGCCAACACTGCACCCTTGGCACAAGTTGTCACTGTATTTATTTAATTATTTGATATTTTATCACTACAAGTAAAACCTATCATTTAATGTTTTTGCCGTAACGATTATGATTTTCAACACTTTTATGTATGCGCAAGCATATGTATATTTAATTGTTTATTAACAAACATGAAATATCGCTGATGCAGTAAGATCTGCATTGGTTAGAGACTGTACGCATGCACCACACCTCTTAACACAAAGATGCGTAATAGTTTTGTGCGGGTTGTTGCTGTCGCCTGGATCTGTCTTGTTTTTCTTCCAAAGATAACGCCTGTGCTTACAGCGCTGCTCACTGTCGGCGATGTTGGGTGAAGCCATTATTATCGATTGGTTCAAAGGCTGTATTTTTACCTGGAATGATTTGAGCTCTCGATTGAGGAGCAGGTCTTCTGGCAAGCGTCCCATAGTCGAGTATGGTGTGTAATGTTGGCTAAACAGATATTCGGACATTCTTCTTAAAAAAGACTTTTGTGCTTTGAACCGTTCGCTGAGCTTGTCCATTGGCCGCAGGATGAAAAGGTGCCGTTCGGCTATTACGAATAGTAGCACGATCTGTAATGGTAATTCGTACGGACTCAAGAAAATTGCTCGTCTCAGCATCTGATTTGTGTGGATATGCCTAGAAGCAGGTTATAGTCTGTCATCAAGGTGAATTCACGGCCATAAAGATAGTTATGGAATTTGTTGACGCCGAAAATAAGCGAGACAGCCTTATGAACCGAGTGGTTCATAGTAGAGGTGGAGAACTATCGATGGCACTATCGCCACTATCGATGGTTTAGCACTATCGAGCCACCATCGATGGCAGCAGACACCTTCGATACTGGCCCATCCACTATCGATGGTGCCATCGATAGTGCGCTTCTTACATCCCTAAAAAATTTGTTCGCGCATTTTCCGTGTCGGCGTCAAATGCGAAAACGAGGAAAAATTTAAAAACAAGAAACAATTAGTTAAATTAATATGGATCGCTTTTTAAATCTGTGTATGTTTACTATATTATATACGTAAGTGTTTTGATCTATAATTTGTTAAATTTAAGGTAAACGTCGAGTAAATGTCTTCATCAAGTGCCGACAAGCCGGACTGTGAGTGCTCCTCCAGCACAGACTCTGAAAAAGATTTGGAACCAAATCGACAGAGTAACAAAAAGAAGTCGAAAATTTCACGTGTTTGGAAATATTTTAAAAGGTCTGACGACAAGAAATATGCCAAATGTCTCGATTGTGGCGAAGAATACAAGACAAGCGGCAATACATCTAACTTGCACGACCATTTAAAAAGGTTCCATCCTGGCGTGGAAAGAAAGAGCCCAGAATCGAGCACACAAGTTGTACGTGCTGAGAGGAACGTCACTACATCTACAAGCAGCAGTTGCAGATCGAGCATGAACTCTGTGGCGTCATACTTTAAAAGAGCCGTCATGTATGATTCAAATTCTAAAAGAAAGACTGACATAGATAAAGCTCTAACTGAAATGGTTGCCAAAGATGTGCAGCCCTACAATATTGTAGAAAACGAAGGGTTCGTGCAATACACTCATGTATTGGATCCTTGGTATAAATTACCCAGCAAGACGCACTTAAGAGATGTGCTGATGTATAATTATTTTACCGAAACTTCTGCCAAGTTATCAGCAATCCTTGTAAATGTTTCGAATATCGCAGTTACGTGTGATTTGTGGACATCAAGTGCCAATGCTAGTTTTTTGACTGTGACGGGTCATTTCGTATATAACTACGAATTAAAAACAGCATCCTTAGCAACAAAAAAAACTTCTAAGCACAACTAATCATTGTTCACAAAACATTGCTGATACATTGCGGGACATTTTTATTGAATGGAACATTCTGGAAAAAACTGTATGTATTGTTACCGACAATGCCAGCTCCATGCTTAAAGCATGTGATCTATTGCATATTCGCAATCTGCCATGCTTTGCGCATACTATAAGTCTCGTGGTGCAAGATGCCCTAAAAGTTGATGACCCAGTGCTTCAAGCTTTATTTACTAAGTGTAAATCAATCGTTCGATTTTTCAAGCAAAACACTATATCAAATGAAAAGCTCAAATTAGCTCAAGAAGGCTCAGAATATACTTTGTTGCAAGAAACGCCCACTAGGTGGAATAGTTTTATTTTATGATTGAGCGTATTATAAAAATGAACGATGCCATTGCCAAAGTTTTACAATCAACAACGAATGCACCGCAGCCATTTACTGCTGAGGAAATACTTATGCTGAAAGATATTGAAAAACTTTAAACAAAATATTGATGGAATCAATCAAGCAACGTCTTTCCGTATATGAGCAGAGAACAGTCTGCAGGATGGCTACGCTTTTGGATCCACGGTTCAAAAAAAGTGGATTTCAACATAGCTCAAACGCTGAACAAGCAGCAACATGTTTTGAAAATGAGCTGGCCAATTTTCCAGTTAAAGAGACCGCAAGTAATCAACCCGTAGCACCGGATTCAAGTTTACTGGATACTTTGTTCGATTTTTTGGGTGAGCGTTCCATGAATAAATTTGTAAACTCAAGAGTCGATGCAATTTTAACTAAGAAACAGTATCTGGAAAGGGCAATTGTCGGACAAGATATCGACCCTCTATTATGGATGAAGGTATGCCTTAATTAAAAGTGCCGAGTTATTAATTGCATATAATTAAGTATATTACTGTTTTCCAGGTGAATCAAACTGATTTCCCTGCCATTGGGAGCCTTTTCGCCAAATATCTTTGCATTCCGGCTACGTCCGTGGAGTCTGAAAGAACATTCAGCAAGGCGGGCCAAATAATATCGGAGAGGCGAACCCGGCTCAAAGAAAAAAATGTTAACATTCTTTTGTTTTTAAATCGCAACTCTTGGCTGAAATAAAGCATATTTTATTGTATTCGTTTCATTCTTTTTTTTATCGTAACTTAGTTAAAATAAAGCATAATATTTTTATATTTGCTTAAAAAAAATTTTTTTGTTGGGCTACACTATCGTGCCACTATCGATGGCACTATCGACACTATCGATCGTTTAAAATAAACTATCGTCGACTATCGATGGCGCCCACTATCGATAGTTCTCCACCTCTAGTTCATAGCTCCGCTCTGCGTTAAACAACGTTTGTGAATAGTGCGCTATTGGTTTGACGATTCCTCCTTTCATTTAGGCCGGCCGTCAAATATCCTCTCCTGCAGCTAGTGTAGCCTAGCTCCAATCCGGTCGCTTTCATAAATTGTTTAAACCTTTATGGGCTTGTTGTTCCCAGTTCGGTGAGACTGATCAGGAAGGGGCAGCCTTTGTGATTCAATCCAGTACTGCATAGAGTCGAGCAGGAATAGAAAAGGTGTTTCACCATGTTTTCTTCCTCCTCTGATAGCATGCATGCCTACAAGCCAGTTGCGTCTAAGATGGGTGGTATGAACTACTGTTTTTCGACCAACTATTGGCCAGTAAGTCTGTCGAATAATTGCCAAGCATATCACTGCTAAGTCAAATTTGCGTTTGTTAATAAATTTTCAAATATATGCAAGGACCCGTTGCGTATTTGCGAACGAATTAACGAATTTAGACTTCTCTACCAAATCTGTTGGGATCGTAACGGTTTTATTCGTCTCTTCCGCTACTGCTGCTCCTCGTCGTTGTCCTCTGCGGCGTCGCTCCTCATCGCTGTCTTCTGCGGCGTCGCTCTTCGTCGTCGACTGCTTGCTGGAACCTGGCTCGGACGGCTCCTTCGAGACTCTGGATGTTATGTGAACCTCACTGCCGGGGCCGGCAAGGTGTTTCACCTAGCAGGTAGAAATAGGTTCTGCCTCTTCGCCCAGCCACCTTTATCGCAGGCTCCCTAAGTTGGTCCGGATTGTGTCGGCAAGGTGTATCGCCTAGCAGGTAAAACTAGGTTTGGCCTCTTCGCCCAACCACCTTCATCGCAGACTCAACGGAAGGACTCCCTGAGCTCGACTTAACCACGACCTAGCACCCGTTGGATCTCAGCTTTGAAGCCTCAGCGTTGAAGCCTCTCAGTCGTTCGGCGTCTCGATTTTGCGATCTTGATCCTGGTACTCGGCACTTGATTAACTTGCTACTGGTTTCGCGTACACGCACTCGCTCTGATTCTCGCACTATTACTTCGTCGTGCGCTGCGCTTGCGCCGCCTTTTTATAGCCTGTGATGGTCCCGTTATTTCCCTTCTCCAGCTCGCGTGATCGGATCCAAGGTCCACTGCCGCACCGTTAGTTCACGGTGCGCCCTCTTTGTGCGGGTACGAAGTCCGCCAATTTACAGTTCGCCCTTGTTGCCCTTGCCGTGTGAGAGTCCAATGTCCAGCGTGGTGGACACGGTGCCCCCGCTTTGCCCGGGTCCAAGGTCCGTTGTTTACCGTTTAACCTTGTTGTTGCCCGTAACTCCTCCGGCATTCTCGCCTCCTTCGCTGTTGCTAGGCAGCTCTCCTGCATCGGGATTTGTTGGGAGTTTTAAGACTCCTCACATATCCCCTTTTCTTCGGAAATGTTTTGAAAGTGGTGATCTCCCCGCCCATGTTGTTCGTTCATTCAAATTCCCCGCCCAAACTCGTTCTCCTCGTGACCCCATACAGTTCCCCAAAAGACTTCAACTTTCCCTGAGCTGCCCTCGTAAGACTCCCTCCAGACAGCGCTCTGAAAGACCTTTAACTTTCCCCTGGCTGTGCTGCGTTAGCCTGTTCCCCAGACAGTTCCCTGAAAGACTTGAACTAGAATTTGAATTTCCCGCCCAGACATTTCCCCGAGTTTGAAATCACCATTCCGATTCCCGATTACTGAACACGTCTCGATCGCACTTACCGATAGTGGGACCAGCATTGCCTTCGTTGTTGCCGTTATCGTTATCGTTTCCGTTGTCTTAAGTTGCCTCCGTGTGATCGTTTCTTGAGAAATCCAGTATTTCGCAACTATCGATCGACCGCCTATCGTCTGGCGCCCCCGTCCCTAATCTCCTCAAGGCCTCGTTGTTTTGGAGAAACTGATGAGTAAATTTGACAACTGCAATATTTTTTGTAACTAAAACCTTTTTTTCTTTACAGCGACACCATAGTCATGATGCCCCTGCCATGTCTCGGGGTGCTGACCCTGGACCGCGTGCCCCCGGGGGTGGGCTTGCCCGACGGTGGTATCTGCCCTAGACAGATCAGCCCGAGCCCTGCCGTTGCCCTGCTCAACCGGCGGAAGATCAATTGGTCCCTCGCAGCTCGCCGCGTCGTCCTCGTCCGAGGACACCTCGGCGCTGGCGGTCTTCGTCCCCTCCTCCTCCTGAGGAGATTGCGACGACCTGTCCGATCTCCGTCGCGTTCGGGCCTGCGTCCTCCTCCTCGGACGGCAACTCTACGTCCGAGATTTCGCCCGTGGACTCCGCGTCAGCCTCGCTGACCGGGAACGGGGATCGCGACACCAGGGGGGACGCCAGAAACTGGAGGACGGAATCGGAGTCCCGTCTTCATTTCGCCACTGGCTGTTCCCTGGCGCTCCTTCTTCACCTCGTGCTCATCATGATGATTTTTTGGAAAGACCTGCTCCGTGCAGCGCCGTCGCTGACGAAACCTCGGTTCTTTCGCGCATCCTCGGTTCCGTTATTCGCGGAGACGTGTACCGGTAACGGGACTCGCTCTCCGCTCTGTGCCCGTGTAATGTTTAAAAGTAACGGTGCCCTCCGTGTACACGCCTCCTACGCAAACCGTGCAAGTGTGCGTTTAGCAGGTAACGGTGCTTACGGCTTTCGACCGAGCAATGCGGCCAGTGGCGTAGATAGCTTTTCCTGTTTTTTTGTAAGATTTATTTTACACTGCGGTAATAATCCGCGTTGCACAGTCTTGCACAGAAATTGGTCACATTTTTCACATTGATAAGTTGCATTATAAAAAAATTATTTTATATTGATCCCCCTGATCCCCCCCTATCTACGCTACTGATGGGAGGTAGATGATTTTGTCGTCCAATTTTAATCAAATTTGAACCGTGATTCTCACCTATTGCTCCTATGGGAGCTATATGGTTTATTCGTGCCATCCGTTCCGACTCAACAGAAATACAACAGCTTTATAGCTGGTGACTAGTTTTTGTAGAAACGGACGAACGGTTGAACAGAGGTGGTAGAAGGCTAGATCGACTCTGCCAGGATGCTGATCACGAATACTTTAACGAGTCGAAAATGTCTCTTCATATATGTCATATTTGTTTAAATAGGTATGGCAACATTAAACCATTTAATATACCACATGGTTTCATTTACCGAATGATTACCTTTTTGTGGCTTTTCCGGAGCGGTGTTTGCATTCCCATACATCAAGAACGGCTCCGTAAAAAATGTTACTAGACAACCCCAATTTTGCGAAAAGAAACAACAAAGTGAAAAAATGGTAAATTTATGGTAAATTCCTACTTATTTGCTAGTCTATGCTGATGGTTAAAATTTTTACAGATACAAACATAAAACAGTTCACAGCTGGCACAACAAGGCACATTTATGAGAATATATAATAGAATAATTGCATACCATGTCACAAAATTTCTAATTGTGGCAGCACTAAAGGCCTATCAGGCCATTTTTGAAAGGCGGTAATTCCTATTCCAAAACAGTTGGTGCTAAAACTGCTCTTTGTATACAAAAAAAAACATATTCAGAGGGAGCATGGTGCTATTAAGGCTCATCAGATAAGACTCATCAGATAAGGATCATCAGACAAAACTCATCACGCAGGTGGGAACATTGTTGTCATAAACAACGCGGTATCCAAATATGTAAATTGTACTGAGGTCAGCCAAAATAACTGCTCTGGGGCTAAGTAAAGCGCGGAAGTCTTGGCGGTAATAATGGTTGTTGTTACTTTCAAAGCAATACCTCACATCGGAAAGCGATTAGCTTCCCAAGCCGCAGCAATAGCTTTAATAGGATCGTCAGAAATACACAGAAAAACGAGAACACCTGGCAAGATCGTTTTAATTTTATACATTTGACAATCAATGCGTCGTCAAGGAATATTGCACTGCAGATTTAGCACCCTGGTAAACATTTCGTTTAAAACGCTCACTGCAAAAGAAAAAGGCCACAACATACATAAGTTTATCTGGCCTAACATAGTGGGAGTGCCGAAAAATGAGGAACCTCAGTCTATTCAAACGTAAGGAGTCTTCTATATATATTTTTTGGCGATGTAAGCATTATACTGAGATTTAAATACCATTCGAAGTTCATAAGAACCCATTATAACAGCCCCGTAAAACACAGCTTAGCTATTAACATTTCGTTTACATTTTTAACATAACTAAAACTGTTAATTTACAAAGGCGTATTTAACGTAATTGGTTTTTTGGTTGTGTGGTGTGTGAAACTTAATTCATTTTCACACAAGAAAAAAAATTCTAGTAGTGCACAAATAGAAAGTCCTTAACAATGGTCTTCCATTACCCGGTCGTTCAAGTAACCAGTTGTCAGATGGATGTAGTCTTTTTAAACTCTTTCTGGTGTCAGGGTTAGTCTATTTGTATGTGAAAGAAGTAATGCTCTGCTTCGGGTGGCTGTGTTAGTAATAGATGTGCAAACAGAATTAACGTTGAAATCTCGAAAAACAGTAATTTTTCGTGTATATTAGGGTTTAATACTTTGGTTTGGCAAGACTCAATTTTGTGAAGCTCCGCTTTAACACCGAAAAATAAATAAATAAATAAAAAAAAATAAAAACTGCTTACTACAGCAGCATAAATAAGAGTACAACACATAAAAATTCATTTTGCCCGGAACAAATCGGTTCTAAGCCGGCATCCAGAAACCGCTGCGTTGGCGATCCTATGTCCGGGTTGAACGGCATCGCCGTTAGTGGGACAATGCCCGAGGGGGGTTTGGGTGGAGGTGATGTCATCGGGAAGACAT